GCATCATCTGAATGTATTTAAGAATTGTCAAATAATTCCTGTTAGTTTTTCTGATCACTGTCTGGTTTGTTGCTCTGTATTTTAAAAAAATGTTCGTTTACAGAGTGTCTACTGGCATTTTAATACCGCTCTTTTAAACGACAGAGCTTTTAGGGAAGCTTTTGAGTGTTTTTGGCTCAGTCATAGACAATCAAAATCTTTATTTTCTTGTGTCCAACAATGGTGGGATTATGGTAAATGTCAAATTAAGCAGTTGTGTCAACAGTTCACTCGCAATGTCACTAGAGACATAACTAGATCTATGAAAGACTTGGAGACTCAGATAGTAGAGCAGCAGGGTTTGGCAGCATCTACAGGAAATCGAGGGTTTTTAGATTCCCTCAAAGCTAAAAAGGCCGTTCTGGCCAACCTGTTGGGCACAACAGCAAAAGGAGCCCTGGTCAGATCACGCTTCCTAAGTGTAACAGAGATCTGGATTTGGTCTTGAAAAAAAAATGGACAAAGAAAGATTGTTCACTCCCTAAAGACTGACTGTGGTTCTACTATCTCAGGTTCTTCTGAGATCAGTAAGTTTGCTGCCAGTTTCTATAAAGACCTTTTTAAGAGTGAACATTTGCTGAATCCAGATGTGAGCGATGGTTTCTACGAAGGACTTCCTCAGGTGGATGCTGAAGCCAATCAAAAACTGGAGGCTCAGGTCACACTGCATGAATTGCATGCTACCTTGATGAGCCTAAAGAATGGTAGATCCCCTGGCATGGACGGTCTTCCTGTTGACTTCTACAAGTCCTTCTGGTCTGTGATTGGTGAGGACTTGCTGGACGTGATCACAGACAGCCTGCAAAGAGGTTGGCTGCCTCTGAGCTGCAGACGGCCAGTCGTTACTCTGCTTCCAAAGAAAGGAGATTTACAGGATCTAAGGAACTGGCGACCAGTCTCTTTACTCTCTACGGACTACAAGATATTTTCCAAAGTCTTGGCTACCAGACTTAGAGAAGTTATGTCTACAGTTATTCACAGAGACCAGACGTATTGTGTGCCTGGCAGGTTGATAAGTGATAACGTCACTTTAATCAGGGATGTTTTGGAAATCTCCAGCTCATTGGCTGTGACGTCATCCTGGAAAAAAACATCAGCTGTGCTGCTTCTATCAACACCCTTGTTAATAGATGTTGGAGATCGGCCTGTTTTCCAGTGTGGTCCTGTTTCTCTGACCGTGACTGAGTGGATGTGCTCTCTTCGTCCTCTGGCATGGGAGCTGCCTTGGGGCTCGTCTGCCTGGCTGTGTGTTTCCTGGACGGGGCCGCCTTTTACAGCTGCTTTTTGTATCTCTGCTTCTGTCTCCTTGAACCCCAGTCGGCCTCGGCAGATGGCCGCTCACACTGAGCCTGGTTCTGCTGGAGGTTTCTTCCTGTTAAAATGGAGTTTTTCCTCTCCACTGTCGCTACAAGCATGCTTAGTGTGGGGGATTGTATTTGAGTCAATGAGTCAATGCAATCAACTGGTTTTCCTTAGATAGAAAACTTTGTATCAATTTGACTGTATGATCTGGTTGAACTGTAAAGTGCCTTGAGATGACATGTGTTGTGAATTTGGCGCTATATAAATAAACTGAATTGAATTGAATTGAATTGGGAATAGATATTGGTCTGATTTCTATAGATCAAGAAAAAGCTTTTGACCGGGTTGAACACCAGTATTTGTGGCAAACTTTGGCTGCTTTTGGTTTCAGTCCTGGTTTCATAGCTATGATCCAGGTTTTATATCATGACATTGCGAGTGTACTTAAAATAAATGGAGGCTTAAGTGCTCCTTTCAATGTTTCAAGAGGTGTGAGGCAAGGCTGTTCTTTATCAGGGATGCTTTATTCTTTGGCCATTGAACCTTTGCTTCATAAGCTGAGGAAAGATTTATGTGGTGTTTCTATTCCTGGGTGTGATGTCTCTTTAAAATTGTCAGCTTATGCTGATGATTTAATTGTTTTTGTAAACACACAGGAAGATACTGATGTTTTAGTCAATACTGTTTTTCATTTTGGTTGTATCTCTTCTGCAAAAGTAAACTGGAGAAAGAGTGAGGCTATAACTGTAGGAAGTCGGTTGGGGGATCAACTCGGTCTGCCTGGAGGCTTAGTGTGGAAAAGGGGTGGCCTTAAATATTTAGGTGTGTTCTTGGGTAATGAAAAGTTTGTGCAAAAAAAATTGGGAAAATGTTTTGGATAAAGTTAAGGGTCGACTCTTGAAGTGGAAGTCGATTTTACCTAAAATGTCATATAGAGGACGAGTTCTTGTCATTAATAACCTAGTTTCTTCCACCATGTGGCACCGGCTGATGTGTGTTGATCCTCCAGTTTCTCTTTTATCAAATGTTCAAAGGGTTCTGGTAGATTTTTTTTGGGATAAACTTCACTGGATTCCTCAAAGTATCCTGTTTTTGCCGAGAGAAGAAGGTGGTCAAGGCCTGGTCCACCTGGCCAGCAGAGGTGCTGCTTTTCGTTTTCAGTTTATTCAGAGACTGCTCACAGGACCTGCAGATCTGGTGTGGAGGAGTATATCTTGCTGCATTCTTCGGAGATTCGGTGGCATGGGTCTGGATTTGCCTCTCTTTCTGATGGACTCTAGCAACTTAAACTCTTCTCTTTTTCCAGTTTTTTACAAGAGTATTTTCTCTGTGTGGTCTTTGCTGAGGAAGGAGAGACAACAGCAGGCTGAGTCTCTACACTGGCTGCTCCAGGAACCGGTTCTGTTTGGGAGTTTGTTGGATTTTCCTACTTGGGGGGCAACAACCTGCCCCAGACTGCTCCACACTGCAAAAGTGTATTGCCTTGGGAGGGTGGTGGAGCTGGCTGGACCTCGGCTGGATGATCCTGTTAAGCTCGCTGCCTGTTTGGGAATAAAGTCTGTTCGATTTGTCGGCCAGCTCTTGTGCTACTGGAAGCACAAGTTAAGTGACCATGAGTGTCCACTTTTGGCTGATTATCATGAGGGTTCTGTGTCACCAAATCACTTGGATCCTTTTCCATCCTTCAAACTGTTTCCTGGAATAAAGAACTGCTCTGGCCCTTTTTTGGATTCAGTGAACAATAAAGGAATCTCCCTGGAAGGAGCTTCTGGAAAAGTTTTCTATAGAATGATTGTTAAAACTCTCAATCAACACAAACTGAATGGACGCAGTGACACAGTATGGAGAACTCATTTCTCCTTAAAACCTGAATTCAAGCCTGAATGGAAATCGTTGTATAAGCCTCCACTAACGAAAAAACATGCAGATTTACAATGGAGAATCCTTCATGGTATTGTAGCTGTTAATTCTTTTGTGTCTGTTATTAATCCTTCTGTAGAAGATAAATGTCCATTTTTTGAACAGAGAGAAACAGTGTTTCATTGTTTTTCTGACTGTGTTCGTCTGTCGGCTCTTTTTGTGCTTTTGAGAACTATTTTCAACAGATATGGTGAAATGTTCACTAAACATGGATTTATTTGTGGTTTTAGATTCACACGCCAAAAAAAGAGCAAATGTGAATTGATTAATTTCTTGTTAGGACAGGCAAAAATGGCCGTGTAAATAAGTAGAAAGAGGAAGGTGGTGGAAGATTTGAATATTGACTTGGTTTCTTTGTTTATTAACTTGGTGAAGTCTAGGCTAATACTTGAATTTAATTTTTACAGATCAGTTTCAGATTTAGATACTTTCTGTCACATCTGGAGTTATGGGAAAGTAATTTGTAGTGTGGTAGGAGGAGAACTAATTTTTGGAAAAGTGTTAATGTAATATATTCTTTGGTGTTTGTTTCTTGTTGTTGTTTTTTCTGTTACATAGTTTGTGATACTATGTCAATTTATTGATAATAAATGAGTTGTTAAAATCTCAAATCTCTCTCTCGCTGTCCATTCAATGTGAAATAACTCCAAAGAAATTTATAACAAAGTTCCCGGGATGGCAGATGCCATATTGGTACTCGGATGACCACCATAAGAGCTATACTTACAGGACATGTAAAAAAAAAAAAAAAAAAAAAAAAGGTTAAATAAAAATGTTCCTCCTTTTTGTCACTGCATGCATGCTCAGCGCGAGAGATTGCTGCAAAGTCAACAATGCAAGCCAATATCTTCTGTCTCTACCTGCTCACCCAGGAGAAGTGTCATGATTGGTTCAGAGAGGCCCAATATGCAGAACACCACGGAGACGGAAACTAGAGTAAAAGTTTAACAATGTTTATTGTACACAAGCACATGGAAATATGTCAGGTACTGGTTCACGTCTGGGGATCTGGTTCACAGGATACTGAAAGGGAGACAGTTCAGTTAGCCACGTAGCAGAAGAATGTGGAGATGTTATCTTCTTAGATCTACCTTGAAGAATCCGGGTTTGGCTTTGAGAGAGGCACTGTTGGGTCCAGAGACTGTTTGATTCAGCAGAGTTCAGTTTCAGGTTCAGCGTCTTGCATCTAACGTTAGGACAGACCTTGGCTTTCCAGCTCTTAGTCCAGAGCAGCATGGGTATCCAGAGAAGGTTCTTCAGGTTTGGCTCAGAGGGCAGGTTCGACAGGTTAAGCTCATCCAGAGGTTACAGGACAAAAACTGGTTTCCTGTAGGCAGAGACAAAAAGGGAATTAGAATCCAACTAGGAGACTAGAAGCAACAAAGAATTCACAGAGGTAGTGAGGCTCAGGTGCTAACCAAACTGGATAAACACTGCAGCGTTGATGCGAGGTCTGAGGACTGCTTATATGGTGGAGGATCCTCCTGATGATGAGATGGGCTTCAGGTGTGTCGAAGGCTCAGCTCAGGAGGATCCACAGCGAACTCTGCTGGAGAAAGGTGGTACAGCTCCAGATCCCAACAAGAAGAGAATTCTGTAAAGTCAAAAACTGGATGCAATCAGCTTTTTTCCTTTAAACCTATAGTGTGACTGAATTAATTACTTCTGTAAAGAGCCTTCAGATAACATGTGCTTGAAATTTGAGAGAATTTAACTTTTTTTTTTCCTCTGCACCACAGATGTCAAACATCACAGACCAATGGAAAAGCACCATGGCCAAGATCTTTGAGATGCTGGATGATCAGCAGTACAAGGAGATGGTGGAATTCTTTAAGAACAATAAAGGTCCCTCACAGACAAGGGTCACTGAGATGTTTAGGAAAGAACTTCCTAATAGGCTCATTAAGAAGTTTGGCACGAAGGGATCCATCTTCTTCATCAATAAAGCAATGCAGGCAATAACAATTAACTCTGATGTCCATGACCTGCTGCGTCCCTTTGTGGAACAAATGCGAATAAACCAAGAAAACCAGGCAGAAGGTGAGTTCCCACTTATTGGAGCTGTAGAATGTATCATGGCCAGGGCTGATCCTTTATGATGTTGGTTAAAATGTTTCTATGAACTCCTGACTTCCTGTTTCTGAGGAGAACAATGAGAAGATCCATGGTTGGTGGAGGTTTCTGGGTCCACATCAGAAGCTGTTGATGGTGTTTTTTACACCAGCTGAGCTTCATGGTCAGGTTAAGATCCTCCATCCTTCATGTTGGTCAGTAAATACTGTTTGCATTTAGTAGCTTCAGTAACAAATAGTCAAAGCGATCTCAGGATATATTCTCCATCATGGTTGAAGATTCTGGTCCTCAGCACCAACTTCATGGTCAGACAACACCATAGCCCAAAAAGAAACACTTTAGCAGAACCTCCCCCTGCTCGTAGCATGGTGGAGGTGCCCACACTGTGGGGTGTGGTTAGGGTCACTGTAGGACTTTTCTGCTGATGTTCTGAGCTAAGTGAAGAGAACATCTCTGGAACTCTACAGATAACAGGAAGAGAGGCCTATTTATCAGCTTCACACATGTTCTAACGGGTCTCTGTGGGTCGGGTTCATCCTGACTGACAGAGACACAGCAGTGCTGAGAGGAACTCTGATGAAAGCTGCTTGTTTTTACCTTAAGATCAATGAAACATCTCAACATATTTTATTTCACTTACAGGTGCAGAGACCAGGAGCCATCACGAGCAGGTTAGCCCTTTAAATGTTTAATGATGTTGACGGAAATGCTTATTTTGGGTCATTGGTAAAAGTTTCCAAATATGATAACGGAACTAAAGCTGTTCTGTTAAAATCCGATGACCCAATTCAGGAGAAAACCTGATGATTTGTTTTTGCTACACAGAATCAAACTGTTTAGTAAAATCCTTTCAGTTTTCTGCTTTTCGGGTTCACCATTTTATATCTTGGTTTGAGTCAAAGAGGATTTTTTTACCAGCTCACTCACTCTTTTTTTAATACTTTATATGTTGAAGCAGAACCACCTGATGAAGGATGAGGTCACATAACTGAACTGTTGGTGACAAAACTTCCAGATTTCAACTTCTCTGACTGAACATCTAAACCAGACATTTATTAACACTATAAACAAATCATCTCTGTATATTCTACCTGTTATTATTTTTATAGTGAGTAAAAACTGAAAATAGGAAGATGTGTGTGTGTATGTGTGTGGGGGGGTGTTCTCCTTCTGGTAGAACAACAGCTGTGTGGATTCTTCCTGACCCAGCTCCCTCAGCAGCTTCTCTTCCTGTAAGAAACAGAATTTAGAGAACATTTGTTTTTCTAGGCCATTTTTCATCATTACAGTTTTTAGGTTATTTTCTGTTGAGGTTGACCACCGAACCTGAACAAGGCCATTTAGGCTAAGGAACTAGATCCCTTTAGGTCCTGTGAACAGATTTCTGATTCTGTTCCACTTCTAATGTTAGCTCTTGTCCCATTAGTCATTTAAACACACTAAATTTAACATCTCCATTATCTCCTCAAACACCATTCCATTGTTATTAATGGTGTCCTTTTGTGGCGCAATTGTTAGTGCCCATGTAGTCCCGGGGAAGACCCGAGTTCGAAACCTAAACAAAAATTGGCTTCGTTGGCAGCATGTCAGTCTCATAATATGAAGGTCTTAAGTTCAACCTTCACATGGGGCATTTGGGGGAGTGTTGGCCTTGTGGGATAGAGCATTGCCCTTGTTCCGTGAGAATGGTCCAAGTACCCATTTTGATCCCCACAACCTGCACTCTGGGTTCCTGAGCAAGACCCTTAACCCCACACTACTCCCTGGGCACGCACAATGGCAGCCTACTGTTCCCCAAGGGGATGGGTTAAAGAGGTAAATTTCTCCAGCGTGAGATCAATAAAGTTCCATTATTATTACAGTTACCCCATAATGTGCTATGACGTTGAACAGGTTTATTGATAAAACAAGCGGGGGTTGGATTCAGGAAACACAGTGTACTGTTGAATCGGTACTGGAAGAGGGAAGTATCAGTGGTTAGTTCAGGATCCGTGGGAACTTTGAACGATGACTTGGAGAGACAGAGGCTCTGTTCGAAAACCTAGGACGCATCCTTAGAAGACCGGATTCGAAGGCTGATTACGTCATAGCGCGGCGCCGAGGTCTGGTCGGATTCCAAGAGTCCTCGTTATGCGGCCTTAAAATGCGTCCTTCTTTTTGCCCGATTTGAAGGACGGGTCCGATGTATCCTCGGTATTCTTGGATATCCCAGGATTCATTGCGAGACCAAGCAAGCTGTGATCAGAGGAAAGGTTACTTGGCGCCGAACAGTGGTGAAAATTGGAAGTTCAGTTTAATATAATACAACTCTGTGAATAGTTCCGTCTGAAATGAATTAAAATAGTTGTTTTAATGGTTACTGAGTCATATATGTGGCTGTAATGTTTGGTTTATCTAAAGGTTTTAATCTGTTACTGTGTAAATGGGTTTGGCTGTAATTTAAGGACAGATACTAATATATTTGCAGGGTGGGGACTATAAATCTGATAGGATTTTTATCTTTTTATTGCTATTTTGCACAATATGCTTAACTTTGTATTTTTTGTTGTTGAATATTAGAGATTTTGCAGATATATTTTTTGTAAATATATTGTTTAGATTTACTTATATCTTTCTACCCCTTTTATAGAATAGAATAGAAAATCCCTTTATTGTCCCACAATGGGAAGATTTACAGCAGCAGAAAGATTATTGAAAATGGTCACACAAATGTGGACCTTAGAAAAATGTATAAGAATAACATAATAGGGAAGAGTTAAATATATAAACAATAAAATACTGTAAAGTGTTTTAACAATATAAAACTGGGGAATAAATAACCAATATGCGGTAATGCTTTCCCGGCCTAAATGGGTTAAAATCTAACTTTGATGTGAAATCTTGAATGTAATCAGCTTCAGCTGTTATAAGAGAAACAAAACCAGATCCAAAGATTTTAGGTTCTGGTAGAGGGAGATCCAGAGTCCTGGGCTGCAGCTGAAGGAAGGTCCTTTTGGTTTCCAGCAGGTTCTGATCTGAGAACCGTCATGATGTATTTAAGAGATCTGACCCAAAATGCAGAGAACAACTCAGAGAGACAAGGGAAAAGTTAAACAAGTTTATTTGAATGAACCATGGAGGTAAACAGAGAAAACAGGACTTACGTTGTGGAGAAAACTTTCTTTCCAGAATCCAGTGTTGTGTGGGTTAATCAGAGGGAGTAGCTCGTTAGAGGGCGGACAGGTTTAGACTTGGTTGGTTTCTGAGGCAGTATGGAGCGGACTGTAACTTGAAATCCAGGAGGTCTTGAACGCAACTTGTGGTAGTTAATCCCCTGCTCAGTGTGAGACTCAAACAATCCTTCTAGGGGAAGAAGGCCAAAAACATCCAGCTTGCAGGATGGCTTCCTGCTGAAAGGCAAAGACAAAAAACACAGTTAGACTCAGAGAAACAGAGACTCAGTTAGACTCAGCTAATCTCAGCTTGGCTAGAGTACCCAAAACTGGCAAACACTCTAGGGTCGAGGTAGTGACAGTCCACCTCTGAAGTAGTCCTCAGTGATGAGCCAACCAGCCGCAGGTGTGCCAGAGGACCAACGAGAACAGGGCACCACCTGGTGGTGGAGGAAGAGAAAGACACAAAAACACAACCCACACAAACTGGATTCCTAACAAGAACAGATTATCTGCACTGACAGAAGAATCCATCCACCTTTCTGCCAATCAAACACTTTATCTTCTGTGGGCTTTGAACTTGTGGTTTCTGCTTTTTACAGACTGGTTTAGCTGTAGCAGTAAAGCCTGAGCAGAAGCAAGATGGAGGATCTGGAGTCACTCAAAGTCCACAGGTAGAAAAATATCTCAGGGTCCTTTTCTGTAACTACTGACTAAGTCTGCAGAGTTAACTTCTCATTCAGCAGCTCATTAAAAAACATATTCTTCCCAGTAACTCAGGTCTGAAAGTAAAAAGCCTAGGATTATTTACAGATATGTATACCATATTTATATAATGTTCAATCACAGTACAAATCTAGATGAATTTCTTTGTTCTGATTATTCTGGCTTAATTTATTTATTTTTTTTGGGGGGGTTGCCTATCCTTTTATAGAATGTAAGTATAGAAAGTACACTATTTCCCCAATTTGGGACAATAAAGGGTTTTTCTATTCTATTCTAAAGCATATGTAAACCTAAAATTTTACATCACAGAATCTGCAATAATAAATCAGACTAAAAAGTTTTATTTGACAGAATCAATGAGTGAGCTGCTGAGCAAATTTTTTTTTGCAGAAGACAGTTTTCCTGACTGACTTCCTTCACAGGAAGGTGAGACGCTGGCTGTTCACAGAGAGCTGTATCTCAGCTGATAGATGGAAAGTTGAAGGAAAAGATGGCAAAGGAATTATATAAATCCCTGCAATCACTAAGGACACATCAGAAGAGCTATAGCTACAGGTTCCCACAATCCTTTGCGGTACAGGTCATATAAGCACAACCAGCCTCACAGAGTTTAACAAATACATTAGTTCTTCACGTGTTCTCTGTGTGACACATGCTAATATGTGTGGGTTTTTTAATGGAGAGCTTCAGCTGTTTAGTAAATGTGAGGAACTTCTGTTTTCATGGTTCTTTTTTTTAAAGCTGAGGTCCTGATTTGACGTTGCCGTCCTGTAATGACCATAAAGTCAGTCTGGATTTCATTATTTATAGTGTCTTTTATTAATATAGAAACTTTGCAACATCTCTCACTATTTCAGCAGGACCCAGAGAGAAAGGTGGAATCTGGCATACCAGTTATAAGAAGTGACAGACAATTACTGACAATATATTTATTTTAAGCTCTGAAAATCAATGTACATGTACAAATGCATACATGTATTTGCTTATAAAGCAGTCAGTGTGTCTGTGTAAGAGAGACGGTAAACACTCATGCCATCAAATCTTTGATATATCCGTGTTTCTTTGTTCTCAAAGCAGCAGTTTTTTATAAATATTACTGTAAGCAGCTGATTGCCATGAACAGATTAGCATTAGCACAGCCACAGGATCTTGTCTAACCCTGCTACTCATTTCTGGTTGAAACAGATGCTTAGAGCGAGCTATTAAACATGTACAGTGGCCAGATAACTGTTAAAATATAAATTTCATACATTCAAATCTAGAAAAAATGCTGTACATTAAATAAAGCCACAGTTTTTAAAGCCACCCTCTTGAGTCAAGTGTAAATTTAAACTATAAATGTAGATTAGAACAAGAGTGTCAAAATATATTCATAAGCAACTGAAATGTAATTTTAATAACAGACTGTGATTAGGAAGTCATAAATAATTGTGACAATCATATCAAGTAACTAGTTGAAAAGATAACGGACAGATTATTTCACAGAGTTGCAGTTAGAAGTATAGTATATGACAGACAAGCATCTCACCTTTGCTGAAGAGGAAATGAACAGGTAAGGCTGCTGTTCTATGGTCCAAAGACCAACGTTTCCATGTGAAAGCAAAGTTTAAATGTATTATTTTACATTAGGGTCTAGAGGAAAAGCAGATAGGCACATAATACAGATTATGTCATAGGATCAGTCTTTTTCTTCAGATAAAGTCACATATCTAATCAACTTTTCGATTTTCCAGAGAATACGTCCTAACATGGTGAGTAGAATTATCGGTTTCATTAACAGAGTATTTCACCTTTTAGTTCTTTATGTGTTTTTGAATTCTGTTCACCTGTGATCTGATTTCTATTCAGAGGAAATCCATCAAGGATCTGAAGGCCAGTGGTGACCTGTTTGGAAAAGAGAAATATCCAACCATTCAGGAAGGCAGCTTCTATACCCTCAGAGAAGTTCTCATGGATCAGAAGGAGAACATTCTCAAGGTTACAGAAAAGAATATGGAGTTGAAAGCCGAAAAACTTCTCAGTCCAGTTTTCACCATCAGAGAAGTAACACGCTTTGAAGACAAAAAGGAAGTGAGCGTTAAAGGCACCGTGAAGGAGGTAAGGAGGTCCATCAGACATCATATAGCTCTGCTGGTTAGATGTCTGCTGAAGTTTGGTGCTCATGTTCAATATGCGGTCACTGGAGGCAAACTGTTTGAGACTGTGTATTTAATGTGACCTTAACTCTGAATGAGTTATAGCACCATCTACTGTCCTGGTAAACATCTCCAGATACACTTAAGAAATATTTGAGATTTACACAAAAAATGAATCAAGTTAAACATAAAAGAAAACAAATGGACGTTTTAGACAGTCTTTAAAATGGTAATAAAAAGACCAAAACATTGCAGCGATGTAAAGCTGACATGTTTTGGTCTTTAAACATTAGAAAATAGCACCAACATTGGGTTTTAATAGAAACTCATCATGGTTAATTATAACACTTAAATCTTCTGGATCAGTGACTAAAAGGGCTGAAGAGGAGCTGAGTTAATCTCCCATCATGCATTTTGAGCATGTTAGATATCTGCAGACAATCTGGCTTCCACAGGATGGGTCCCATTGGTAAAGGTTCTGGTAATGTGTTCTGTTGAGAACCATGATGGCAATTTAAGGTTTATGAAACAGGGATGTTTCCTAATTCAGTGGTTGCATCCTGACGACTCCAAAAACAGTGAAGGCCAGAAGTGATCAGCTGCTAACGGACATTCTAGTCCTCAACATAACTAGAGCTGCCCAGCAACTGCAACAATATGAGGCATAGACCTATAAAAACAATTTAGTCTAAACCTTTTCTTTTTAAAATGTCCTTTATCCTGATATAATCATCCATCCATCTTCAACTGCTTAGTCCTATCAGGGTCGTGGTGAGGCCAGTGCCTATCTCCAGCAGTCTATGGGTGTGGTACAATGTACAGATCACCAGTCTGTCACAGAGACACACAACCATGCACACACACGCTCACAACCTATGGACAATTTAGAGAAGCCAATTTACCTAACAGTCATGTTGTTGAACTGTGTGAGAGGAACCCATGCATGCAGAGGTAGAACATGCTAATTCCATGCAGAAAGGCCCGGGCCAGGACTCAAACCAAGAACCTTCTTGCTTATTCCTTTTTCTATAACTAGTCTTTACTAAAAAAAAGTAGTGCCCATCCACAGCTGATAAGAGAATATATTGAGGACTAATTTAAAATTGTCTGAAGCCCCACTATTGCTAATTTAAAAAAAATAAAAGCTAGAGCGCAGGATTATTATCCAAGTGAGAAATTTACCTGGTTTATCAATTCAGTCCATCTCTATCGGCTCCATACATGTTGGAGCCAGAGGGCTTCCAACTAGGTGAGGCTGGCGCTGCCCAGAGTGTCACCGAAGCTGCCGTCCCGAAGGGAAAGCAGGAGTCCGAGGCAGGTCAGGGCAACAGATCAGAACAGGAAGGTCCTGGAGTCCAAATCCCAATCAGGGATACCAATCAGCAGTGTTGTGCCTGAACGCGTTCATTGAACGAAAGTTCATGAACTCGTTCATATTTTGGGCGAACGTGAACTGAACGTACTGCATTCTTGCCTGATGAACGTTATTGTGAACTCGTTCATTCTGGCGTCTGTGAACGGCACGCTCTCTCAGTTCAACTCCGTTCAATAGGTTGCCAGATTTCTATAAAGCCCTCCAGGCGAAACCCCGGCTAAATCACACCGTAAACAGGCCTTAATATGTAGCGGGAAAAACACCCAATCTGGCAACACCAGCTACCAGCCTCGTAGCCTACAGCCGCGTGCGTCATCAAAACAAAATGCAGCGTGGAAGCCACAGCAGCGTGTAGGCGACTTAAAACAGGTTTATGACCAGGTGGTCGGTGAGGATGATGGCAACAAGTTTGCCCGCCGGCTTTCAGTAAAAAAAATCCGCACTTCAGTAACCTTAAATTCCTACCTCAGCCTGGTCCCTCAGTTTGTGTTTGTAAAATCTTCTTGAGCGGAGGTCTTCAACAGGGGATCCGCGACCCCTAGGGGGTCTACGGAGGTACTGCATGAGGGTCTGCATGGTTAGTTGATATTTTTATATTCCCCCCCTGCATTTATTTTCCCCACTAATTGAAATGTCTTTAAATACTCATTAACATGAAATCAACACACTGTAGTAAACAGATAAATGGAGACAAAAGATGTCTTTCAGTCATCAATGCACACATTCAGCGACACACAGGAGCTCTTTCAAGCTGGGCACCGTTTCCTTCACAACACCTGTCCCATCAACCAGGAATCAGAATCAGAAAAACTTTAATAATCCCAGGGAGAAATTAATTTCTTTACATTACTCCATCTGTAATAGAGTGACTATAGGACACAATTTCATAAAATATATATAAATAGGGGGTCCCCGCTCCATCTCACCATCAGTTTGGGGGTCCTTGGTCTGGAAAACATAGAAGACCCCTGTTCTTGAGGGTTTTACTATCCATGTAACTTGTTTGTAAAACCTGCCTGGTATAATTTTCCAGGATTCCAGGATTCCTTTTTAGTATGTATTGAAATGGAATTTCAAATGGAAAAAATTATTAAAAAAAAAAAAAAAAACATTTGCACCTTAAAGACTACTTTCCTATTTTTCTTTTAATAATTACTCATAAAAAAGACCATTCAAGCAGCACATTTTTCCTGATGTTTTTGAGAATATACTGTAGGGGTGAAAGCTGCAGCTGCTACTAGTGTGAAGTGAATGGACAGCAACAAAGCATTAAAGCAACAATGGGGAAATGCTGTCCCCTCAATGCTAATGTAAACCCTGGTTGGATAAGGATTCAAAACTGAATATGAAGATGAAATCTGACGCACAGTTTCAGTTACAACTGATAAAATAATTGCTGTCTGTGGTTCTACAGTAGGCTATGGTGTAATTGAGCAATATATGAAAAGAAAAAAGAAAAAAAAGAACTATGAACTAGTTCGTTTTCTGGAATTGTGAACTATGAACTGAACTAGTTCATTTTAAAATGTGTGAACTGAACTTTGAACTAGTTCACGTAGAAAGAGAACTTTCCCAACACTGCCAATCAGAACAGGAACAGGCTGGTTCAGGGTTCCAGGATTCCACAGAGAGCTCAGATAGAAAGTTCAGATAGGAACAAGCAAGTTCAGTGGTTTACATTTATTGCTGTTCCATCTGTAGATCATTTCTATACGAATTATCCTGATCAAAATTACACTCCTAGACCTAACTGTAATAGTATATCTTCTAAATTACGTGTTTGAAGCAGAAAATTAATTTTATTAAGTTAAAAAAAATTGAATAAAATTATACCGGTAAAAATAAAAAAAAGTTTATATTATATATCACATTTTAAGTGGCCATTCTGATATTTATTTGCTTGACTGCATATATATTTATGATATATGAAAAAAAAAATTATAGTTAAAATAATACAAATGCTGACCAGTAAGATAAGCAATATCTGAAATTAATTTCTAGACCTCTAGAATGTTTATTCTAGATGTGGAGAATGTCATTTTGTTCGAAATGCTCATTTAGACAAAGAAAAAGTTTTTGTTTTTTTATTCAGATATCAGAAACACATATTCAGTAAAACTAGTACATATCAAAACCTCTTACCATAGTTTTGTTACAGCGAAAATATTAGGGGATTTTTCTCGTGAATGGTGGCAGATCAATGAATCTATTTACGTGAAATCTTCTGGCAGCAGGTGAAAATGAAGAATAAAAATGTTCCATTATAAAGAACCTGTGGATCACCTCATGCGTCCCTCCTCATGTTGATTCTGTCTTATTTTACACAGTTAAGTGGCTGTTTGTGGACAAATGGCCATTATAAGTGGCTATCAGTCCCCTAGAATGGCTTCAGGTTGTGCCAGAATGCTCATTAGGTCATCAAGTGAATCCTAATCCTAACCCTAAACTAATTCCTGTTCACCCATTGAATTATTCCATTTACATGTAATGTGAAAATGATGTTTGTAGTTCTTCATTTACTGTAAATTTTACCAAATAAAAATAAAATGATCCACATCTCGCTTATATTAAACAAACGAAAAACAAGTAATCTCATGTCCTGTGAGTTGAAGAATCCTGTCCCTATAAGAATTTTTATTCTCTGTGAAAACAGAGAATAAAGATCCTCATCAAACGGACACGCAGTATTTGTTTTTAAAACCTAATGTGTCTAATGGACCTAGTGAAATATATATATTTTTTATGCACAAACATATGAGAAAAATCAAACTAAATCAGGAAATAAAACAGCATGATTGGCTGTAAGGAGAGCAGAGACAGAGGACACTGAGTTTACTAAAGAAAACCTGCTGCTGACCAGGTTAGCTCCAGGGAGAATGTTACTACGATGACTGAAACATAGTTGAGGAACCTCTCTGCATCAACCAGAAAAGTAAGAGTTTCCCTGTTTTCAGGTTTAGACAACTTTGAGTTTTCGATAAACCTGCTTAATGAAAGGGACCCCTGTTCTCAGCTCTTATCCCTTAAATTTTGGTGACGGTTTCCAGGGAACCTAAACACATCATTGAGCCGATCTATAGGTCCAACTGATGACAGCTCTTAAAAAATGTATTTAAAATATGTTCAAACATAATGAATGTGTTTAACTGAATCTCTTGGTTTGGGTTTATGCAGATTGGTGAACCCACGAAAATAAAGAAACTAAAGAGAGACAAGCTGGACTTTGAACTGGAGGATGAAACTGGATCCATCAGAATCAACCTGTGGGGTGAAAAAAGCAGACAGCTGGATGGGATATCAATAGGAGATGTGGTTCAGGTCCAATACCTAAAGACAAACCATTATAATGGAACAGTGTCTCTGAACTCCACAGACCTCACCAAAATCAACAAGGTCAGCTTGAAATTTAATTTCATTTGTTTGAAATCTTGCTTTTCTTTGTTTCTGTATTTCTTCTTTGCTCATGTCTCCGCCTCTTCTGGGAATCACCCTCAGTATTTATTTATCCAGCTTCATCCTCTGCTGGTTCCTTTTCTCAGCCTATAAAATCTAGTTGGCTGGACAGAAAGAATTCAACAGGGCTGGCTGAGACCGGGACCAGGATCTGACCATAAAACATCAACACCTAGGCTGAATTTTTTTAGATTTATTTATTTTTTAACCACAAAAGTCAGAAATATATGCAAGAGTAGGTAATAAATCTACCAAAATTAGTTTGTGTTTATATACCTATAATGGTAAAAATAACTATAGTTTAAAGATAATAAATACAGCCTCACATAGATACCTATTCTACGAATTTAGTTGATTAGTTTACATTGCATATCGAAGGATTGATGGTTCAAGCCCCGATTCTGACTTTAAGTGTCGTTGTGCCCTTGGGCAAGACACTTCGCCTGCATTGTCTACTGATGGTGGTGGTCTACACCAGTGGCGCCAGTGTACGGCAGCCTCGCTTCTGTCAGTGAGCCCCAGGGCAGCTGTGGCTACAATGCAGCTTGCCACCATCAGTGTGTGAGTGTGTGCGTGAATGGGTGAATGAATGTAGTGTAAAGCGCTTTGGTCAAGTCTCCTAACTTGAAAAAAGGCGCTATATAAGTACATGCCATTTACCATTTACCATATTAGCTATATGACACATTTTAGAAAACAATAAGAGTAATAAATCTTTATCATACTATATTGTCTGATTTAGAGCAGCTGTAAAGGTAGAAACTTCTTTGTTTTTGGTTTGGATTTTTGTATTTATAACCATGGACACCATAGATTACTGGGACCATGTGGAAACATTAGATTTATGTTTTTGGCTTTTTGAAATGAGCCTCTTTGTTTCCCTTCATCTGCTGGTGCAGTGGGTTTTGCATGTAGAGCTGTTACTGTTAAGCTTGCATACACGCCTCAGTCGGCAAGATTATTAGGTACAGGTCAGAGGGGAAATGAAGGCACCCTGAGCTAAGATCAGAAACCGCCACTGATACTGATGCGATTGGAAAGAAGAGTTTGGTTTGTAATGAAAAGATCAGTGTTGCTCCACTGTTGGTTTGTGGGTTTTCTATATATGTTTTTTTACATTTGTTTTTAATTAGCTGATTAGTTTTAAATTGTGTATTGTGTCGCTTGTTCAGGTTAAATAAGTGTTTAAACACGTAGTAACTGACATGGTCAAATTGCCTTTTGTTCTGTCGCCTGTACATGTAAAGTTAAACTAGAAGTAATTCAGCTTAATCCTGGAGGTGGACAGATTTTAAATAAATTCTCTGTATTTTTTTATTTCCCTTTCCTTTACACTTTTCATGTTTTTGAAAGGTAAATTCAATAAATTAATTAATATAATCCACTTCTTAATTTGTATAATTAATTGCTTATTTAATCAATAGTCTTTTCTATGAAAAGGAAGAAAGCAAAGAACTATAAGCAGTGCTTTTTTATTTTATCATACTTCCCTATTAAAGGTTAAATTTAGAGTAACTTGTCACATCATGACAGCAGATGCTATAGATGTTAGCTTATACTCATATTCATTGATTAGATTATTAAGGTCAAACCTTCTAACCCGTCTGTCATCCTGTTCCTGCTCAGATTGAAAGTGCTGAGGTCCAGAAAGTCACCATCAACATCATGGGGATCAGTAAGGCAGACAAGATCATGACAGAGCTGGATGTCGAGATCAGCAACCAGATGAAGATGTTGGAGGTTTCCTCTCCTCTTCTGGCAGAAGTATTTGGTCTCTGTCTGGATGACAACTTTCAAAGCAAACTCCTGGAGAAGATCGAGTGTGAACTGGAAGCAGAAATACAAGGAAACAAGATCAAGAACCTTAAAGCCAAAGCATGAACCTTTCCACAGTTCTGTGTCATGGCTGCTCTAGTTTGTAGATAACCGTCAGTGCTGCCATCTGTTGTTATCATTAGAATAGCGCAATAATTACTCTTAATCTGTTTTTGATTATCAAAACTCTTTCCGACTTCCCTTTTATCATGAAAACATGCATGAATAAAAATTAGGAGTCAGTTTGTAGATGGGAAAATCTGGAGCTCATGACTTTCATCCTGGTGTTAACTGCTTTTTACATTAACTACTCCTGTTTGCATACGGTATATAATACTAACTGTTGATCCAATGCATAATATTATGAATATGATCTAAAATAAACTGATCTTATAGTTTCTTTGAAATAATTTCACAGTTAAATTGAAGCCTGAGGCCTTGGATAATTTTGAGTCTAATTTCCTTAGAAAACATTTAACCAGTTGGAGTGTGATCTGATTCAATCGAGTTGTGAATTGGGGCTATATTAATAAACTGAATTAATTTTATCACTTCCTGTTTTCTGATGTGTAATTATTTAGATGCTCTTTAAATTCTTCATTTTAATTTTTTTCATTCTGGAGTTTTTGTCAATATTTTAGACCAGAGGTCACAGATTAGCGGACCGCGATCCAGATTTGGACCCACCTGCTGGCTAATCTGGACCCAACGCGATTTTAAACATTTATAAATTACTGCATGTCTGCATGACAGTATGTAACTTCACTTAAGCCACTTCTCCTGTTTGTACGGTAAAGCCCTCCGGAGCGATGGGTAAGAAGGAGAAGATGATGACAAAAAGAAAGCAGAGAAAGTGTGGACTGCTGGAAGAACTGCAGTGAACTGATGAAAGAAAAGTGAAATGGTGTGCTCGAAGGTGACGCTGCAGATTTTCAATATATTTGGCTCAACCTGCTGCTGTGAAGCAGGATTCTCCACCATGAACAGAATCAAAATTAACTATCTATCCAGGCTCAAAATGAACACCTTGATATGTGCTTTAGAATGGCTTTCTCGCCATTCAAACCCAGGTTTAAAAGCCTTGCAGGGCAGCATAAAGAACCTCAAGCGTAAAGAACCTCCAGCTGTAGCAGGAAATGTGTGTCTAATTATTTTCAAGGCTGAATTATTTCCCTTAAATTTGTACCACAGTACTACAGTTCTCACAAGGTTCAGCGATTATTCTCAATAGTATCTTTAAAGGTCATATAATACTAATAAAACAGTTATGATTACATATTTGTCATTCCTCATCATAAGCTAGTAATTGTTTGTGCTGTTAGCTCATTCATTAATTTTCCGACAAAATTAATTTCAGTAATGCAGTAATGTGTCATGATAACATAGATGGCTTCCTTCACACCCCTCTCAAACCACCTATTTTCTTTATCCAGAAAGAGAGAAAGAGAGAAAAAACAACTTTAAACAGAGGTGGTGGACTCCAGCTTCCAAAAACTTACAATTCAGTTATAGAGATGATGCCGTACAGATATCACCACACCCCCCACCCCATCACAGAGGAACAAAGTACCCCTCTTTTCAGCCGGTGAACAATACCTCCTTAACGACCGACCCTTAACAATTATAGACAGGTTTCAGGTATTACAGGCTAACAATGGAACCAAACGACCCATTCATCGGTTTCCATTTGCATGTTTCCAAGCAATACAAGGCCCTGTCTGTATAAACACTCAAACTCACTGCGGATCCAGACATTTGAATTGAGAAAGCTTCCTGGAGAGGTGCTGAAATGTCTTGAAACCTTGTAAACCAAGTCCAGTGGATTGTTTTTTAAACTTTTACGGAATGACTATAAGCTGAATGATTGAGAATCCTCATCAGCATATTTACATGTATGGTTAATGCACTATTACTTATTTGTGCATATTAATTTTGTTTTTGATAAAAATCCTTTTGCTAAAATGCCATCAGAACGCGGAAAATATCAAGTGTGTCTCTTTCAGTGTCCACCATATTGGATCACTCTATTTGCTGTGCGTGTGCAGAAAGGTCCAAATAGACAGCAACAAAAAATTTGAAAACATACTCTGAAAAGAGCAGTTTTGCCAAACTTTCCAAACGCTTTTGTCGCTATACTTAGTGACTTTTCAGACCCCTCTAGTGCTTTATTTCAAAAAAGCGCCTAGAGCCAAATCTATCAACTTTTTTCTGCTACTGGAGACTTTGGCGAAAACATATAAAATCGAACTCTGCTCTCTATTGCAAGTAGATTGGTAACCCCGCCTCCTGCTCTCCTCTATCTTGTCTGCTGTCATGGTTCATGTAGCTATTACTTCATCGTACTCGTACTTGTCGTCTCCCGCTTTATCCGGAACCGGGTCGCGGGAGCAGCAGACTAAGCAGAGACTCCCAGACTTCCCTCTCCACAGACACCTCCTCCAGCTCTTTTGGGGGAAGCCCTAGGTGCTCCCAGGCCAGCCGAGAGACATAGTCTCTCCAGCGTGTCCTGGGTCGTCCCCTGGGCCTCCTCCCAGTGGGACGTGCCTGAAACACCTCCAGGGGGCATCCGAAGATGCGGAGGAGAACCGGCTCTACACTGAGCCTCTCCCGAATGGCCGAGCTCCTCACCCTCTCTTTAAGGGAGAGCCCAGCCATCCTGCGGAGAAAGCTCATTTCAGCCGCTTGTATCCGGGATCTCGTTCTTTCGGTCCAGATCCAGATTTCATGACCATAGGTGAGGGTAGGAACGTAGACCGACCTGTAAATTGAGAGCTTTGCCTTTTCACTCAGCTCTCTCTTCACCACGACAAACCGGTGCAGCGTCCGCATTATTGCAGCAGCCGCACCGATCCGTCTATCGATCTCCCGCTCCATTCTTCCCTCACTCGTGAACAGGACCCCAAGATACTTGAACTCCTCCACTTGAGGCAGGGACTCTCCTCCAACCTGAAGGGGACAAGCCACCTTTTTCTGGTCAAGAACCATGGCCTCGGACTAGGAGGAGCTGATTCTCATCCCGGCCGCTTCACACTCGGCTGCGAACTGCCCCAGCGCACGCTGTAGGTTTTGGCAGGAGGGAGCCAGGCTCTTGTCCCTGCAAAAAGCAGGGACAAGATCCGCTGGTCCCCAAACCAGACCCCCTCCGGTCCTTGGCTGCGCCTAGAAATCCTATCCATAAAAGTTATGAACAGGACCGGTGACAGAGGGCAGCCCTGTTGGAGTCCAACATGCACTGGGAAAGGGTCCGACTTAATGCCGGCAATGCGAACCAGACTCCTGCTCCGCTTGTACAGAGAACGGATGGCCCCTAGTAAAGGGTCCCCGACTCCATACTCGTGGAGCACCCCCCACAGGGCAGCACGGGGGAAAAGGTCGAATGCCTTCTCCAAGTCCACAAAACACATGCGGACTGGTTGGGCAAACTCCCAAGAACCCTCAAGCACCCTGCAGAGGGTGTAGAGCTCGTCCACTGTTCCACGGCCAGGACGAAAACCACACTGCTCCTCCTGCAGCCGAGGTTCAACAATCAGCCGGACTCTCCTCTCCAGCACCCTGGCATAGGCCTTTCCGGGGAGGCTGAGAAGTGTGATTCCCCGATAGTTGGAACACATCCTCCGGTCCACCTTCTTATGGAGGGGAACCACCACCCCAGTCTGCCAATCCAGGGGGACTGTCCCTGACCTCCACGCGATGTTGAAGAGACGTGTCAACCATGACAGCCCGACAACATCCAGAGCTTTAAGACACTCAGGACGGATCTCGTCCACCCCCGAAGCCTTGCCACCGTGGAGTTTTTTGACCACCTCCGTGACTTCAGCCTGGGTGATAAACGAATCCAGCCCCAAGCACCCCGTCTCTTCTTCCCCCATGGAAGGCGTGTCTGTCGGGTTGAGGAGATCCTCAAAGTATTCCTTCCACCGCTCGACAATATCCTCCTTCAAGGTCAGCAGCTCCCCACTCCCACTGAAAACAGTGTTAGCGAAGCACTGCTTTGCCAGAATCGCTTTAAAGCCAACCGATAGTCTTTTTCCATGGCCTCCCCGAACTCCTCCCAGGCCCGCGATTTTGCCTCTGCAACCGCCCGGGCTGCAACGTGCTTGGCCTCACAGTACCTGCTTGCTGCTTCAGGAGTACCACAAGCCAGTCAAGCTCGATAGGACTCCTTCTTCAGCTTGAGAGCATCCCTTACTATCGGTGTCCACCACCGGGTTCGGGGATTGCCACCACGACAGGCACCGCAAACCTTACGGCCACAGCTACGGGCAGCCACATCGACAATAGAGGCAGAGAACACAGCCCATTTGGACTCCATGTCTCCAACCTCCCTCAGAACCTGAGAGAAGCTCTCCCGGAGGTGGGAGTTGAACATGTCCCTCATCGAGGGTTCCACCAGACATTCCCAGCAGACCCTTACTACATGTTTGGGCCTGCCGAGTCTTTCAGGCTTCCTCCTCTTCCAGCGTATCCAGCTCACCACCAGGTGGTGGTCGGTGGACAGCTCAGCCCCTCTCTTCCCCTGAGTGTCCAAGACATGCGGCCGAAAATCCTGGTCCTGTCCAGGTGCCAGGTGCACCGATGGACATCCTTATGCCTGAACATGATGTTCATTATGGACAATCCGTGACAATCTGTTCCTCCTGATCACGCCCCTCCAGGTTTCACCGTCGTTTCCCACACGGGCGTTGAAGTCTCCTAGTAGAATGATGGAATCCCCGGGAGGGGTGCTTTCTAACAGCCTCCCCAAGGATGCTAAGAAGGCCTCGTACTCTGTACTGCCTTTCGGCCCATAGGCCGAAACAACTGTCAGAGTCCTCCCTTCGACCTGAAGGCGAAGGGATGCGACCCTCTCAACTACCGGGGTGAACTCCAACACAAGACGGCTGAGCTGGGGGGGAGACAAGCAGCCCCGCCCCCGCCCTCTGCCTCTCCCCGCGGGTCACTCCAGAGTAGAAGAGAGTCCAGCCTCTCTCAAGGAGCTCGGTTCCAGAGCCCTGACTGTGCGTAGAGGCGAGCCCAACTATTTCTAACCGCTATCGCTCCACCTCCCACACAAGCTCGGGCTCCTTCCCCGCCAGTTAGGGTGACATTCCACGTCCCCAGAGCCAGTTTAAGCGCCCATGGATCAGGTCGCCGAGGTCTCCGCCTCTGGCTGCTTCCCAATCCTCTATGCACCGGTCCCTCATGGTTCCCCCTGCAGGTGGTGGGCCCACTGGGGGATGGCCTCGCGTCGCTCCTTCGGGCTGGGCCCGGCCGGGTCCCGTGAGGAAGAGCCCGACCACCAGGTGCTCGCCGACGAACCCCAATCCCAGGACTGGCTCCAGGGTGGGGTCCCGGCTCTGCCGTACCGTACCATCTGGTTACTCTGTCTTGAAGGACTTGCCTACAAGTCTCAAATATCCACACCTGCAACAAATCATTCATCACCTCAGATGAGTATGTGAGTAGCATCACTTCTTCACCAGTGTTTGCCTGTTTTGGGTACTCTAGCCCCTTAGAGCTTTGCTGAGTAAATCTCTGAACTTTTTTAAGTTCATTCGTGCTCTAAGCCTTC